CTTTTATGCGGCCTTTTGGCCTTGACTTTCTTCAGTTTCAGGAAGCCAGAGGAAGGAAGTGTAATATACAGATTTCTTGTGTTATATGGAGACTGTAAGAGCACAACTTTAGCCTTCCTTCTACATTGGCTGACTTGTGCAGATCGAATGCTAAAATCTGTTCCAGTTTTAGTTCAGGGCTGGCAACGCAAGGGTGGACTTGTTAACTCCTCCTGCCCTCCCCCACACACCCCTCATTTTCCTCTGTAGCTCTCCCAGTTTGAGCAATCTTGGTCAGATCTCCCCTCCCTTCCAGTTTCCTGGCTCCCTCCCAAATCTTCCCTTGCGGTTCTTGCTCGGGGACATTTGTTTGCCACATGCTAAATTGATCTCTCTCCAGAGGCAAAATTAACCCACAGCCACTGACACAATTTTGCACATGCGTGTGCATATACACACAGACACAGGCAATATGTCTTAGATTTCAGAAACACTAACAATTTCAGATGTTGGATGAAGTCCCTTTCCAACAACCCAGCAACCTCATGCATTCCTTTCTTTCCAAAGGAAAGAAAAGGAACTGCTTCTCAATTCCTCATTGGTTCAGAAGGAAAAGCAATTGGTAAGCCCCCCCCCCCCAAAGGCTCTGGAAGCAGAGCATTCCTTCTGGCTCTCTTTCCTGGAATGCTACGCTACCAGTCTAGCTATCTCCTTCTGCTTCTAGCCCGCCCTGGAACAGTCTCTCCACAACAGTTGTGAAAGCAAAGAACCTCAATGGCTGCAAGGGAAGACTTTTAATAATACTTAAAAGTTTTCTCTACATTATGCTACAACTTAAAGACCTAGCTTAAGATAGATGGGGTACTCTGGTGCAGTTATCCAAGGGCAAGGCATTTGTTATTTTGCATTTATGAATTGTGCATGGTTTGTGCCTTTAAAATGCAGTTTATAGAGGGACCAATTGTGTGTGGGGAATGTGCCCCGCCCCAAACTTTGGCTGCTGAGCATGAAATTGTTCAGTACTATATTGCCACATGAGGATTCCTTTGCAGACATATACAGGGCTCTGGATATTTTTTTATTAACTTTAAAAGGGGGAGGGCAACTTTCTTTTTAGGCAAAAACACTTTTTTTTCCTCCAAAGGCTTCGGTAGATGTGATCTTATTGGGGAATAGACCCCAGAATATTGGTTCAAAATATTGTCATTTTACTATGTTGAATGTTTAAAGTGACAAAAAAAAAATCACATCACTGACAGTTGACAGCTTTGGATATGAATATTGCAAAATGGAAGAGGAAGGAGATAGGAATTCCCCTTTCCCAATTTAAAATACTCTAGGTAAACTAATGCACAAGTGCAAAAATGTGTATTTTGGATTGTTTTTACAGTACTGCAAACTTATCTAGAATTTTACACAAGTAGAAACCTATTTTATAAATTGATGATTTAAATATGCAAGATTATTAAAAATACAGATACCAAATTACAGTATTCAGAATTCCCTCTCTAGCCAGGAATCGAAGCTACCAAAAGCTACTTCACATAATTGCATGTTTATTAAATAATTATTAAAATGCTTAGATTTAAATGGAACTTGTGGCCCCCACCAATGTCACCCTGTTAATCCTGCAGGATGTCCTTCCTGTTTTGAAGCACAGACAATATCTTTCAGTCTCAGAAATGCTGATATTAAGGAAGAAATGGAGAGAGTACAGTATTTTGCAGCCAGTTGCCTTGCTCAAATGTTTCAGGCTCTCTGTGTCTTTGTATCTGACTCAGAGCAGATTTCAGGAATTGTCCCGTAATGTGTATGGAAGGGCAGAAGTCTCGTATTACATCACTGTCAACAGCCTTCATTTGCCACTTATCGCATAAGCTCGTACATAAACAGGTCAATTAAACCAACTGAAAAGTGTCATGAACCTGGCTGTGGCGATGGCATCCAAAGCATTTTCTGCTGATTCAGAGTAACAACATCCCCTGGTGACTAAGAGGAAGAAACACAACAGATTATAAATTTGTACGTGTGTGTAAGCGAGTAAGCGCCAAGCAGAGAATGCAAGATAGGGAGAATTGCTGTAACTGTTGCAGATGTTGGGACATCCCATCAGGGTTAGCAGGGAATCAGAACTGAATCATAGCAGAATAAAGGGTAAATCCGGGAAATTTATTGCTGGCTCCCTGACTGTCTTGTTATGTCACTTTTACAAGTGAGGGACGTGCATTTTGACTGATCAGCACTCAGGATTAGGCCAGCATTCAGCAGATTCATTGAATATGGGGAAATGGGTTTGGGATTATCTCTTAACCTTTGTTATAGTAGAGTTGGAATTTTTACATAAAAGAGTGGTAGGAGTTGCAGTCAAACATAATAAAAAAAGGTTGCCTGTGTTGTTCAAAAAGTAGCTCTTTGGCCAATTGTTTTGCATAAATTTCTGGAGCATTTTCATTTAAATACCATTGATAATCTGCCTTCTAAGTAAATTATATCTTTAAAAAACCCTTAAAATGCAAAAGCAGATCTCCCAATAAAAACAGAAGAACCACAAGATCTTCAGTAGAAGGAAAGAAATATAATTGGAACATATTCAACACACCTTCCTCCTCGTTTTCTCCACAACAACAACCCCCATGTGGTGGGTTGGGCTGAGAGAGAGCGACTGGCCCAAAGTCACCCAGCTGGCTTTCATGGCTAAGGAAGGATTTAAACTCAGGGTCTCCAGCTTTCTAGCCTGGTGCCTTAACCACTGCACCAAGCTGGCTCTCCAAATAATAGATGTTAAAGATGGATTTTTAACATATGCCTTTTTAAGAGATAAATATAATTTATAATATTCTATAGTCATATTGAAGATGTAACCCAAAGACAATAGTTATAGTTACAAAATTTTTAACAGCATTGCTTGGACCAACAGCATTTTCAACTTCTGGGATGCCTGAGATTAGAACAACTGGTTAAAATCTTTAAATCTAAAAAAAACTGTTAGTTTTTGTAGATATTTGTTATTGATAAATCAGTTTGATATGCAGGTAATTAAGAAATTAATGGAATAAAAAATTAGAGGTTCCTGTGTTGCCCAGACAATGGGAGAGTGTCTTAACTTCTATAGCAAGAGTATCAATGGACTTCAGATTAAGGCATATACAACAAAAATAATATTTAGAATTTTGGACTCCATTATGTTTGTATATAAAAAGGATTATCTTATTGTCTAAGAAAACATTTTGTTGGAGATGCAATAAGATGTTTCTTTAAAACACATTTTTACAATGACCTATAATTGGGAGATGGTAGTAGACTATATGACTGAAACAAAAGCTAACATTTTCAGAGGATAATATTCTCTTGAATTATATACAGGTGGTCCTTGATTTACAACAGTTTGTTTAGTGACTGTTCAAAGTTACAATGGCACTGAAAAAGGTGACTTGTTATGACCATTTTTCACACAACTATTGCAGCATCTCCATGGTGACATGATCAAAATTCAGATGCTTGGCAAATGGTTCATATTTATGATGGTTGCAGTGTCCTGGGTTCATGTGATCATCTTTTGTGACCTGACAAGCAAAGTCAATGGGGAAGCTAGATTCACTTAACAATTGCAATGATTCATTTAACTGTGCCAAGAAAAGTTGTAAAATGGGGCAAAACTCAGTTAAGGTCTCGTTTAGCAACATAAATTTTGGGCTCAATTGTGGCCATAAGTTGAGGACTATCTGCAGTTTTAAGTGGAGTTTCACAACTGGGCATTATAAATGGATTCTATGTGCCCTTACTATGACTTAAAGACGGATATTGCAAAATTAGAAATATAAATAAACAAACCCACACACAGAGATCAATATTTACACTTTGATTATCACCACCATTGGAGCATTAAATGGGAGTTGTCAGAACCCTACACCACCAAGCTGAAGGCCTGCCTACCAGCAAAGATCGGAAAGAAAAAGAACTAAAACACATCAAGCAAGCCCTCAGAATGTGTGGCTATTCCAAGTGGGCCTCCATCAAATCCCAAAAAAAGACCCTGCAGGAGCTTCTCCATAACAGACAAAGAAGAGAACAATAAACGAAGCAATGTTTATTTTATTTATTTATTTTATTTTTAAAATTTATAAACCGCCCCACTCCCACAGGACTCTGGGTGGCTAACAATAAAAACAACATAAAACATGACAAAACAAACAGTACAATAACAGTCATCCAGGGGTCAGATTTTATAAACCCCAGGCCTGCCGGAAAAGCCAGGTCTTAAGCAGCTTATAGAAAACCAACAGGGTGGGAGCAGTCCTAATCTCCGCTCTATGGAATGGTGTCATTCCATAGATTGCAGGAATATCTGAAAAGCACAGGAGGATCTTCAGACAACATACATGGCACATTTTAAATCCATCCCAAGAATAAAACACCCACACACAAACTGAACAATGTGGTATATGCAGTATAATGTAGTGAGACGTGCAGATCTGTACATTGGGAAAACAAAACAACCAGTTCATAAATGCATGGCACAACATAGGACGGGTGTCAAACTGCCGGCCTATGGGCCAGTTGCATCATACAAAGGCCACGCCCATCCCAGCCCCAGCAATGGAAAAAAAGTTGCGATACGTCTCAACACCTCACATGACTCAGCGAGTTTGACACCCGTGACATAGGAGAACAAACTCATCAGGACAAGATTCATCAGTCCATCTGCATTTATAAGACAAAGGCCACTCTTTCAAAACAGCAAAGTTCACATTTTGGACAGAGAGGATGCTGGTTTGCAAGAGGAGTCAAAGAGGTCACCTATGTCAAAACTGAACAGCCCTTTCTCAAAAGAGGGGGAAGGATACAACGTCATCTACCTCCAGTCTACAACACAGTCTTTTTAACAGTTCCAAGAAGGCTCCACACCCATTTGCACCACTCAGGTGACCCTGATGACACAGATAAGCCTCTAAATGACCTCAGTTACTCTCTAAAAGAATGCAAATGATCAGCTGTCTGCAAGAAGTACAAATCCTTCCATTCCCCACCATCCAGTCAGCTTCTTGGATGAGTGAAACATCTTCAAAGAAAAACAAGAAAGTTCAGTTGCCTCTTGAAAACGCACTTTGGGACATAGAAATATAAATGTATTTATATTTCTTTTCACTCAATGGATTGAAGACCTGATTACATTTGCCACCTATAAACAGATTGCCTATAAACACAGATTTTGTACATACAAGTATAATGAAATATGAAATTCAATTAAACAACATATTAATGAGTTAAAAAGTAATAGTTATTAAAATATATTGAAATATATATGTGCATTTGAATAACATTTACATTAGCTAAGTATATAGAAAATTATAACTGTTAATTGCTGTAATAATATACTTTGTTTCTCTTTTGTATAGTGTTTTTACTTCATTAAACACTTTTTATGTATAGTTTTTGTATGTATTTGTATTATAATGATCTTTGAGCTTTTTTCCCCCCAGTTATTTTTTAAAATCAATACAAAAAATAGGAGTTTCTGATTGGTCATGCTTTTTAGGACAAGCAACCATTTTGACAGAGTATCCACACATTCCAAATAGCCTCACTGGCTGAAAAGGCAACCATCTCTAGTTTGAAGTGTATCCCTTTGAGTTACTGAATAAGAGATAAGGTAAAAGTAGAGGTTTTCCTGTTCAGTTGTGTCTGACTCTAGGGCATGGTGCTCATCTCTGTTTCTTGGCGAAGGGAGCCAGTGTTGTCCAAAGACATTTTCTGTGGTCATGTGGCCAGCTTAGCTGTAAGCCAAAGATGCAGGGAACACTGTTACCTTCCCACCAAAGTGGTACCTATTAATCTACATGCATTTGCATGCTTTCAAACTGCTAGGTGGGGAGAAGCTGGGGCAGGAACAGGAGCTCACCCCATTGCATGGTTCTCAGGTCACAAACCTGTCAGCTTTCCAGCTGAGCCATTGCGCTTCCTATGAATAAGAGATAAGACATACTTTAACAAACATGAAACATCATTGGTATGAGAAGCCGATTTAATCCTTGTAAAACAATAGGGTGGTGAAAGTGATCTAAAACTGCCTCTTTTGATTTTGTAATTTTGGTTTTTTGTAACTACCATCTAGATTTTGAATGGATGAACCATTCACTATTGTCTCATGATGTGAGACAATAGTGACTTGCAAAGGGAGAAATGAATCCTGTAAAAGAAAAATGCAGGATATCCAGTAAAAGCATAATGAAGGGCAGTTGGTCCATCCCACAGATCACATTTCCAATTTTAATTTTGACATAAATATCTTATGCAGTCTTTCTAGGAACGGGAATAAGTCAAAAGGGGTAGCTCCTATTTTATCTATTCATTTTGTAAAAAAGTCCTGTTCCTGTTTTTAAATTCTCTTACCTAATCAATGGCCATAGCAATAACTGAAATATATGCTGTCTGAAGTTCCTGGTGCATTTTTCACTCAAAAGGAAATTTAGTTGTGTATTTGTTTTGTTTGGTTTTGGTATTTTGGGTTTTTTTTTTTTTCTTAATGGGGAAAAATTGTTGGCCCATGAAAAAAGCAATTAAGTATTCTAGGATTCTGGTAAACTTTGCTTTGGCAGTAGTGTGCCTATCCAAAACCAAAAGGAAAACATGAAGACAGGAATTTGTTATGATTCCATTTAATGTTTTCATTTAAATTGTTATTTTTTCAGAGTTTCCAAATTTTTTTTTTTAAAAAAAAATCCTGGTAATATAAGAAATTCATAAATATTATGCATATGCATACTTGCCAACAATTAAGAATCAAAACCAGGATCAAGGTTGTTTCAGTATAGCACTATATGGATAATTTTCTGTTTTGCTCCCAGCCATGCATAAATGGTCTCTTGTCCTAGTCCTACAGTTGTTTTTTCTTCCATTTAATTGTGTCTGATTCTCAGATAAGTCCCTGCAGTTTTCTTGGCAAGGTTTTTCAGAAGTGTTTTGCCACTACCTCCTTCATAGGGCTGAAAGACAGTGACTTGCTCAAGGCCATCCAGCTGGCTTTGTGCCTAAGGCAGAAGTAGAACTCATGGTCTCCCCGATCTTCCAGATGCCTTTAACCCACCACACCAATCTGGCTCTCAGTCTTACAATAGATTCAATCAAACAAGATATTTAAATAATTATTTCTTCATAATTATTTAATTATATTTACAGAACATACACCAAAGGAAAATAGCCTTTGCCTTCATTTGCGAGTTTGAAATTTTGATGAGAATCAAGTTAAAGTGAATAGACCCTCCCCTCTGTGTACAAATTAGGATAATATCCAACATGGCTTAACAAACTTGTAAATAGGAATCTTTTCTTTTTTTTAATTCTTGCCCATAATATGAAATTGTATGTTAGCAACAAGTAGGGTTGCACAAATTTGCATCCAAGAGCTGTAGCAAGCTGTTAAGACAAACTTGTTCCCCACCATTTCCAGAGAAATACAAATTACATGCTGGTTAATGGTATAGAGATGGTGGACAATTGCTTCATGAAATGCCTTTCTGATGATTAACTTCTTTCTTTGTAGCTCAGAGACATATGGCTAGAGGTTTTTAGCCTTTTCTTAGAAGATCAAGCTATAGCACAAAAGATAACAAATTCAAAGTTTATCACAGGAAAAAAGGAAAGGAAACAATACCCCCTGCTTTTAATTTTAAATATTCAAAATGCAAACATTCAGTTCCAGGAGAATCAGTTGGAGAAAATTTATAAAAGAACCTGCCACTTGTCTTCTACAAAGAGGATTTCTCTAACCAGAAGTCTAACAAGAGAGGAGTTTTATTATCATCAGCATCCCCATCACTACCATCTTTATTTATTTAAGAAAATGCATATGACCACTCAACTCACTCTCAGTGACTCTACAAAGATAACCATAAGATGATTTTTAAAGAGGGAAAAATACTAGATTTTTCAGGAATATGCCACAGTACTCTGCCTTGATTAGACAAACTTGAAATATCAGACCAATAGTTCAAAAGGTCTGGGAGAAATTGAATCAAGTTCAGAGGAAAGCAACTGCTGGGCTATCCAGGTGCCAAAAGAAGCACATATGACACCCTCGCTCCACAAACTGCACTGGGCACCAGTTTGCTTCCAGGTCCAGTTCAAGGTGTTAGTCATCACCTATAAAGCCCTACGTGGCGTAGAGCCAGGTTACCTACAGAAGCAGCTTCACTCCATCTCATCAGCTTATCTAACTATCAGGCAAGGAAGGGATGCTGCAGACCCTGCCAATCAAAGAATTTTGACTGGTGAGATCTAGGAAGAAAGCCTTCTCTGCTACTGCCCACACCTTGTGGACCTTCCTGCCAGCAGAGGTGAGAATAGCCTCCAATCTCTTGACTTTCTGCATAGCAGTCCTAATCTTGGCTTTGCATGGGGGACACAGAGGATTATGCATCGGTGGGGCTGGGCAGTCCTATGACAGCCCCCTCTCCTTGTAATAACCAGGGCTTTTTTTTCTCATAGAACGCCCAGAACGGAGTTCTGGCACCTTTTTTGGATGGAACCTTGTAGGGTAGGCAAGGTGGGTTGTATGACGTGTGAGTTCCGGTGACCAAAACTTGATGCATTATTCCAAGTGTGGCCTTAACAAAGCATTATAAAGTGGTATTAACACTTCGTGTGATCTTGATTCTATCCCTGTTAATGCAGTCTAGGACTCTATTGGCTTTTTTAGCAGCTGCAGCACTCTGCTGGCTCATATTTAAGTGATTGTACACTAGGACTCCGAGAGCTCTCTCACAGTTACTACTATTGAGCAAGGTACCACATACTATATCTGTGCATTTAGTTTTTCTTGCCTAAATGTAGAACCTTACTTTTTTCACTTAGAAATATTAAGATAAGATTTATTGATTAGATTACCTGTAGTTCTTCCTTAGCATCACAGGCACCCATTCCTACCCATAGCAACTTCAAGGTTATGATGTACATGCAAGTATGTAAGAGGTGGAGTTTGCATCACTAGGTAGCCGTTCAGCATCTGACTTCCTTGGCTACCTGTGGCCATTCATACTTAGCATAGTTAGACTTCACTCATCTATACCTAGGACTGAGGGATGAAGGAAGAACAATGCCAATAGAACTACAAACTTTAGCCCAAATTATGTTTAAAATCTAGTTGTCATTTCATTTTAAATGAAACTAGTACAGACAAAAAAAAAGATATCTTAACCCTTCAAATCTGTGAGCTTATATGAATTCTGCAGGGTTTCGGATAGTCTTTTCAATTTTATCATATAATGCTGGGAGAATGAACTAAGGAACTTTATAGATAGAACAGGTGTTAAATCATGCTGTATTGTGGATAATATACTTATGCACAAACTAGTTTGCAAGCCAGCATTGTTTTAAAGCTCTCTCTAGAGTTGAAGCCCCAGCATCAAAGTTATATTTTTCACATTGTTGATCTCACATCATTTATTTACTTCTCTACTTTCATTTTCCATCCTCTTCCTTCTTTGTTTATCTCAAAAAAATAACAAGACGTCCTCTTGTTCTAAAATTGCCTATGAAAGCTTGTCTTTCAAAACAAAGAATCTTGTCTTGGAGAGAAAAAACACATGTACTCATGTGCACACACACAGGCCTACTGCATTCGGAGAAGAGCGGGGGAAGCCCCATTTATTCTTGGATTTTTCTAGGAATTGTGGACCCAACATATCTCTAAGGCAGCAGATTAGGGCATTCTTGCCATCTCTGTAGGACAGGGCTACAACATTTCCAGTCCTTGCAGTAACATATGTCTGGTTGCCGACTTGTGATTTTATTCAATACCTTTTCCAGGTATTTCTTTATTTGCAATTCAATGGTTGATAAATGTTTGGAATTCAAACCCCATTCAGGGTTTCCATTGCCAAAACCTTTGGCATTCAGCTGGTAATATGTACAAAATATAGTTTCTGCTCAGAGTAAATACAGGGCCAGATGAAACTTTTCAAAAAGCCACATATGATTTTGTATATAACTGTGCATTTTAACATGAATTATGATGGGTAATAATGTATAAAGAATATAGTAGGTACCTCCCTGCCTTCCAGGTATGACATAGAAGCAGACTCACAGAATTGGAAGGGGATGTTGAGGCTGTGAAGCCTAGCCTTCTGCTGGAATGAATACTTATTTAAACTTCTCCCCAAAATGGCTTTTTTTTACCCTGTGCTTCATTTATTAACATCTTTCTCAGTCACTTGTTCTACTATCAAACTATTGCATTATTTGTATTTGGAAGTTCTTCAAACATTATATTGGAAGTCACCTACTGGTAATTTTGAATCCATTACTGTAGTCTAGATACTCCTGGATGATCAAGAACCAGTTTCAACCTTTTTCTGCATGACATCCCTTCAGATACCTGCAAAGAAGTGGTTTTTTTCCCTTTGGCAAACAACAATGCACCGGGTAGCATGTAATATTTCAAGTGAAATAAATAGACACTACATGCCACTTCTCTTTTCTTTGTATGTCTTCTTAGAAAATTTAATTTCTAACATCTTGATTATCTTCTTTATCTTTCTCTGCATTGTGTTAGTTGGTCTGAATCATTCCTAAAGTATAATGTCTAAACATGGACATATAATTTGTTTTGTGAGCAAACAGAATGATTACTTCCCAGTATGGAAATGATACTGTGATGATACAACTTAAAATTCCATATGACATTTTTTTGCGTACTCATCAACTACAATTCCAAGATTTTTCACTTGGCCAAGCCAGAAATCCCTCATTTTGTATTAGTACATTATTTTCTCTATTACACTTAATGCTATTACTTTCAGCCATTTCCAAATCATTAATGATCATTGTTTTCTAGTCACCTAGATGTACAATTGTTATGTCATACTTAACTAGCACACTGAACAAACAAACATACTTTGTCAAATCTTTGGCTAAAATCAAGATTTAGTATGTCCACATCATTATTATAATTTACTAAGGAAGATGCAAGATGAATCTGACAAGATTTATTCCTAAGAGATTAATGCCGACTTCTGATAGTCATCACATTACACTACTTTCAAGATCTCTGCAATTTGATTATTTTATAATGTGGACTGGGGTGTCAATATCTTTGTAAATATAGGGATATTTGATTTCTTCCATTTTACTGACACTTCACCAGTTCCCCAAAATTTCTTAACAATAACACTCAGAGATTTTTAGTAGACCATCAGCAAGTGGCTTCAGCTACTCCAGGATGTAGGTTTAAACTTACAGTGTTTCCCAACTATATTTCTCTTAATCTCAAACCACAATCTTGCCTCCTCAGTCAACTGCCTGATTTGGACAGAAGACTCAGCCAAAGGAGGATATGAATATTTGTGCTTGTGCCCCAGGAGCATTCTGCTGGTTTTTTCTTTTATTTTGAACAGACCTGGATAAGCCCATTTTGTTATTCTTAATGTTCAGCACATTTTGATCTATAAATCTTTCTGATTCAATCTGTACCAAGCTGGGCTTTGTACTGCAGTTGTGGTGATTCATCCCTTGTATTCGTTTTTTTTTTTATTTTCAGATCCTTATTAAGGGGTTCTCTCTCTCTCTCTTTCTCTCTCTCTCTCTTTCTCTCTCTTTCTCTCTCTCTCTCTCTCTCTCTCTCTCACACACACACACACACACATATAATGATCTCTTCTGCTATCCTCTCCTCTGCTCTCCCCTGAATTGTTTGCAACTGTGCTTTTAATTACCTGGTTTTTAAGAATTCTTACCTCTCTTTTCCAATTAGCTTTTCCTTCATGCAAGTCTACATATTATTCCTTTTGAGTTTATTGAACTCTATTTTCTTGAAACCCAAACTATATTTGGCTATATTCAATTCTGCCATCAAGTCGCTGTTAACTCATAATGACCACATAAATACATTTTCTCCATGACAATTTGTCCATACACTTTTGTGTGTGTGTGTGTGTGTGTGTGCGCGCGCGCGCGCCTTTGAGTCACTTTTGACTCCTAGGAAAAGCCTGGACAAGTCCCTGTAGTTTTATTGACAAGATTTCAGGTTGCTTGCTATTGTTTGCTTTTAGGATTGAGAGAGTATCTGGCCCAGCTGACTTTGTGCCTAAGGCAGGACTAGAACTCATGGTCCCCCCAGTTTCTATTTGTTAAAAAAGTATTGATCGACTCTATTTTCTTAATATTGATCATTCCTCTACATAAGCTCAAAAGAAACACTGTTGGGTGTAGTCACACAAATCACTTAAATCTGGTTAATGTATTAACCTGCATTTTAAACTAGTTCTCAGTACTTTGAATATAAACAAATAGGCTGGATTCGCACAACTTGCTGTGTCATAAAAATGTACTGTCTAAATTTAACCTGTTATGCAAATTTAGCTACTAGGCCTTTAATTAATCTTGTTAAATGCATTATATGAATGAGTGGTATTTCCCACATGTAAGTTTCCAGTATATTCAATGGGACTTACTTCCAGTTACAAAATATAGATTAGACTGATCCTTGCTGTCAGAATTATTTGACAGTAAAAGACATTGACATTACAGGTGGTCCTAGACCAGTGATGGCGAACCTTTTAGAGACCCAGTCCCAAACTGCAACCCAAAACCCTCTTATTTATCACCAGGTGCCAGGTGGGCATGGCTGCGGTGATCATGGCAGATTGGATAGGCAGGGCCAGGGTGGCAGAGGCCAGTTCCCGCCATCGCCGGGGCACGGCATGCGTGCCCATAGAGAGGGCTCTGAGTGCTGCCTCTGGCACGCATGCCATAGGTTCGCCACCACTGTCCTAGACTTATAATAATTAAGCCCAAAATTTCCATTGCTAAGCAAGACAGTTGTTAGTGAGTCATGCCCCATTTTACAATCTTTTTATCTATTTATTTATAAAATGAATAGGCTATCTGTCTTACCTCAAGGTAACTCCATGGTTGTTAAGATAATCACTACAATTGTTAAGTGAATCATGTGATTGTTAAGCAAATCTGGCTTCCCCCATTGAGTTTGCTTGTCAGAAGCAAAGTTGCACTTGACAATCTCAGGACCTTGGGATGCTGCAACCCTCGTAAATACATGCTGGTTGCCAAACAAACAAAGTTGGATCACATGACTGTGGGAACATGGCAATGTTATAAATGTGAGAACTGGTCATAACTCACTTTTCTGTGCCGTTGTAACTTTGAACGGTTATTAAATGAATGGTTGTAAGTCAAGGACTACCTGTAAGAGTACATATGATTGCAGCCAGTCAACAATCTCTTGTCACATTCTGCCCATTTTCATGTATGAGTAGATCCTGTGTAAATGGGCAGCCCACATACACTTCAATACTCTTGCATGTGTTTTGCTGTCTCAGTTCCACACATAACTGCTCATTTTACCAAATCTGCATGATGTTTTCTTACTCAAACTTGACTGTTTTCTCAATCTGTGCCAAGTCTGCATGGAGCAAGAAAGCTAAGGTAGATAATGAGAGCAAGTGGTTGGCCAAGGACTATAGCAATGCTAGGAAAGACCAGATATGGCATACCTCATCCAAGCAAGGGGGAAAAGGTCTTGTTGGGAAGACAAAATTGGAGGTATAGCAGATCCTAAACCACCTTTCTCCATGTTTATGCCTTCAGCGCTATCTATAACTGCAATTCAGCACACCCAGAAGGGACACATTGAGAAAGATACTGTAAGAAAACAAACCCTGAAGAGTTTAGTATTGTAAATTAAATTTTCCTTTCTATATTCCTGAAAACGCTGACCCGGGAATTCTGGGAATTGAAGTCCACATGTCTTAAAGTGGTCACGTTTAAGTAACACTAGTTTAATATTGCCTCACTTCAAACTTCATTGGCTTTCCCCTCCCATTTCCTGAGGTGCTGTTTATCTATTTAAAAAGTTATCCATCAGAGAATGAACCTGCACCTGCCATCAAAAATGGAAGCACAGCAAATATTGTTTTACAAAGCATACATATGTATATGAAATCACCACTGATGTCTAATATAAGTCATTGACTGTAATCCATCTCCTTATCCAGCAAATTAAAATACAGAGGGTCAGTGACAAGAAATGCAGATTTCATTATTCAGCAGCTTGCTGGCCAATCTTAATTACAATTTGAATTATGTTGCAAATGTATGAATTGCAGAAGACTCAAATTAACATCATGTTATTTTGATACCTGATTGTAATTCCCACCCTAGAAATAAAAATGCCTAGCCGACAGAGTGAAATGTAACAATAAAATGCTTAACAGAAGCAAGTCTAAACCTGCTGCAAAACACTGCTCATATATGACACCTCCCTCTCTCTCTTTCTCTCTCTCTCTCTCCCTCCCTCCCTCCCTCTCCCCCCCCCCCGCATTTCTCTGAGGAGGGAGCATGCTTAGTTCTCAGTCTCTTTAGGTCATCAGGAGACAGGTTGCGATTCACGGATTCACGGAGACTTAACCCTGCAAAGTTGGGAATTCCTCTCAGCAGTTTTCAATGTATCCTTCTTTATCTCTGAAGCATACAACCCACTTAGCACTCAGTAGCTGAATCCATTACTAAAAGAAGCATTGATAATCATATAAAAGCAACAAATAAAAAACAGCCAGACAACCTGGGGGGGTTAAGAATTCTTAAATGGATTGGTGTAATTGTGCTTCCTATAATAATATTTTATTTTTATATAGCTTAGTAGCAAAGAGAGCAATACAGTATGGCTAGCAGAATACATGGGTGGTCACCACCCAGAAAGCTGTCTCTAGTCACCAGCTATCATGCTTACCCAACTCACCTGCAGAAAGATTGCCAGTGGTGACTGATGTGCATATGAAGTTCAGTTTTTGATATGTACTGATCAAAAACTGGCAAGCCAGAAAAAAAGGTAACAGGAAATTTCTCTAGAAGTCAGACCTGTCTTGCCTCCTTGACTTTCCAGTGTCTGTTTAAAAAAAGAAGAAATACAATCTCTGCAGAATTATTCATCCCCTGCAACTGTTGAGCACAGAAAGATGAGTTTACATCAGTATATTGCATATACGTTTCAAAGAATGAAGTATTAAATAATTATAACAAGTACTGGTTGACAGGTGAAGTACCAACATTTGAGGAGGGCAAATATTATTCCTGTCTCTAGAAGAGAATTAGAGATATCAGTCAATCTTGATAACTGAGATGATTGACACCTTATATCATAAGATGGATTGATCTGTAAGCACTCGGAAACAATTCAGTGATAGGTTTGTCAAGAGCAAGACTGTCAAAACTAATTTTATTTCATTTTCAAGTAACTTCTTTAATAGTGGAAATTCTGTAGATATATCTTGACTAACAAAGCAGTTAATAAAATAAAAAGTTTAAAACATTCTGATTTGCAACCTATTTAATTATAGGGAAGTTATAGTGGAACTATAGCTAGCAGAAAAAAAAATAAAGAATACTTATCATGTTATTCATCAAACTGGAGTAAGGTAAGGTATGATGCCATGAGATTCAGATCTGGGCCTGGTATTCTTCAACAGGAAATGTCTTCATTTATATTTTGTAATATCTTTTTATATTACAAAATATAATTACAAAAGTGGGCTGAAAATACCAGAATGAAACTTAATAGAGATAAATACAAAGTTCTTCATTTAAAAAAGAAATCAAGATACAGGAAACTAGGCTTGGTGATAATATCTGTGTAAAGGTGATTAGAATTGTAATCAAATTTAATGGGTTGCCAAAGAACCAAACACAATTTAAGCTGAATTGACGGAAATAAGAGTTTATTCTACGATCTTCAGTACTATACCCAGTGCTGAAGCTGCGGCCCAATGATCTTTTCTACAGCCTTTCCTACTGGAATAGAAAGAGTCGGTGAGCAATCCTTTACTGGATTTGTTTAAACAGTGGTTGGAAAGCTAACTTGCAGGGGTGTTTTAATCTGGATTTCTGCACCAAGCAGAGTATCGGGTTTCATGACTTCAATCATCTGTTCAGACAGCTGTATGAGTAATATGAGAGACATAACATCATCTTTCTGCTCCATAGACTGTGGGGATAGGATGGGCGGGGGGAGTGGATTTGCAATTTGAAGGATCTTTGTGGCATATTGAGGGGTCTCTTAATACTTCCCAAAGAGTGGAGCACTGAGAAGATGTTCAATGGTATCTTTGAATGATACTTTCCAATCTCTTTCTTACTCAAAGTACCAAGTTCTGCTGCATGTGCACATCAAAGGAAAATGGACTAATTACTTGATCTTGGAGGGGCTGGTTTTTTTCTCAACTCAGAAATCTAAGCAGAGTCAGGCCTGGTTAGTGCTCAGAAGTGAGACTATCAGGGGATAGAAAGGCTGTGGGCTAGAATGGAAAGTTGAAAAACAGCCTGAAAAAAGGCAATAAAAAACACTTTCCATTTTGTTTCCAAGAAAACTGCATAGACATCCCCATGAAATCAAGAGTTATCGAGCACAACTGGAAGGAGTTCAATCAGGACAGATTTGTGAATCAGAAGCCTAGAATGCAAACAGTTAGCAAGGATACTTCCTACAGGTATACGTGAGTAAACTCACCCAATCTGTATTGTCAAACCAGTAGACTTTGAGAGTGCCATATTTAAAAAAAAAAAAAATCAGGATTCTACCCATAAGAAGCAGGAGACTAAGCCCAAATCTCCTGGGCTTGCAGGAGTGACAGATTGCCTGGAAATGAATATTTGTCCCATGGGCATTGCTAGAACATTGGGTGTGGGGTTAGAATTTTCTGTACCTTTCCCCAAACCTGCAAAGCCTGTTTTAACCAGAGAAAAACAGTGGAGGGGGGGGGACCCAACCTTTAAGGCAGAGGTGATGAGGCTGCCCTCTTGTCTCATTTTCAGCTCTTCTTCCACACCAGGCTTTCCATTCTAGTGTCAGCCACCCCCAACCAGGCAGCAACATTGGGGTTATCCTGGAGCCCTAATTCTAAATGTTCTCCCTTTGTTCTAGCACAGGGCTGGCCAGTACATTAACATAGTGTTCTTTTGTTGCTTTACAAGACAGATAGCAGCCAGTATTCAGAAGTGTTGGGAGGGAGAGGGGAATTGGAACAGAAGACAATATCCTCTTTGATCTCAGAGTGATGGGACAAGGGTAACACTGCAAACTGAAAGCAGTTTGCTTTTCTACACACATTTTATTCCTGAAGTAGGTCTAGCAACCGAAAGGCTAATAGAGCATCTTTTTTACTCTTTTTTTCATAGTATTTTTTTCAGATTCTAAATACCCAGATATTGTAGACTTAGGTAATAATGACATAATAATGACTGTTATTTTTCAGTCTCCTATAAAATGGAGGAGGGGTTTGTGTAATGTATAACAGTGTTGCCCACCTTGGTCAACTTTGAGATGTGTGAACTTTAATTCCCAGAACTTTATCATAGTTACTGGCCAATTATCATAATTGTAGCATTTGTTAAAATTATAGGAATCCCTCTAGCATGGGAGGTCTCCTTATGATTTCCAGCAGATCTCTAGCCCAACAATGCATAAAAAAGGAATATCATAGTAGCCTCTTCCTGGAATTCTTAACAATGGCCATGCTGGCTGGGGAATTCTGGGCATTGAGGTCCACACGTCTTGAAGCTGCCAAAGTGGAAAACACTGATTTAACATCTTTTAGGCAGATTCCTTCTTCCAAAAGTGCCCGGGAAAAGATCCCTTTCACCCTCTTGGATTGTCAAGTTGGAGACATCTTAAATATTGTTCTTCAGACTTGGCCCTTCAGCACAGCTCTAGGAAATAGAAAGGATAGTGATTTCAATCTTCCTACCCCAGGTTTAGAAATACTGAACTTAAAAATCATGACATACAAGAGATAACTGTGTGATCATGTGGTCTTGCAGAAGCGAAACAGACTAAAAAATCCCTTCTAAAACCAAGGAAGCCAAAGACAGATTCCATTAGCCATAGGGAAAATAATCATACAGAATTAGCTAAACTAATTATTGATTACCTCTTTGATTAAGCTCTTGGATTTTAGCACATGTTCATTCCTAAGGGGACATCTGAGCCTCCTGCTTGTACATTTCTAGATAGACCCTCCTTGTTCCTTCTTCCTCCTGAATATTTACCCAGTTACATGAATCCACAGTTTTATATAAGAGAAGGATGTAAATGTAAGGCAGCCATTTAGGAGAGAATGACTGTTGCATTGCCTTATCAAAGTCTATGCACTTGTCTGTGTTTCCCCGTGTCTAGCTAGCAAAATAGAAATTATATGAGGACTAACCCCATCTTCCTTATGAACTTTAGAGGAATTACAAATACACAATCTAGTTTTCATCAGTTCTGCTTTTCTATAAATGGAATTACATGTGATGCACTGTTTCAGGAAAACTAAGCAAGAAGTCAATTTATTATGCTTTAGGAGGCATACTAATTGTGCCATCCCAAAATTAAGTATCACTTCCTACTTTTCTGTTTTTATAGCCTTGACATACTGAGTTATAGTATACTTTCTACTAAAAGTATTTCTATTAACCATGCATGAATCTAACCAACTGTCTTCTAGTTAGCTATCTAGCTGAAAGAAAGATTAAATTCTTCATTGTTCATAATTCTTTTCCCTTTTAATGTCCTAATTCTCATTGAAATCATTTTTCTCTGCAGCGCACCACTACAGAGTTCAGGTAGCAGTCCCAAAGATTAATTTAACCGAGAAACATCCAAATAAAATGCAGTGTTTTATTTATTCATAAGATTTAGTAGCTCATCAGTCTGATTGGCTCAAAATGGCAAAGAGTGCTTCTGAGCAACAGTAACAGTTTACCAGCACAAATATCAATAAAACAGTACATAAAATGTCAGCATTTCTATAAAAATGACCCTCCTTCATTGCCAGTGCCAATGTATTTCCAAAGGCTTTCTCAGGTAGCCTTTTCTCTCTAATAAGAGAAGACTAGCATGTTGAATGAGATGGATTTTCCCTGAGAAACTTTATTCGAAAGGAATAAAACCATGACAAAATTTCATGGTTCAATTAATTGCATAAGTCCCCACCTATAATCTGAAGTGGTGTAGTTCAGAGACAGGTCACCAGCACATCAATGAGAATTAGGCCTTGAACAGCTGATCACTGACACCTGTTGTGAGAGTACATCAGTACACAAAGCTCAGGAGATTAGTCATATTAAAAACATTAATTCCCAAATACATCGCCGACAAAGAGGAATATTTGGCTAGCTGCTATTTAATTTCCACATTATGAATTAGTCATGGTATTCAAAGAATTACATTATATGTCTGAGGGTAAAGGAGAGAAAGAGCAAGAGAGAGGGGGAGAGAGAGAGAGAGAGAGAGAGAGAGAGAGAGAGAGAGAACAAGTCATCCAGTCTCTTAAAGATGTTAAAACCAGACTGCTCTTGTTTTCTAGATACACCTCATTTGTGCAGCTCACTCTGGAAATTACAATAGGTCCCTGCTAGGTGGAATCACATTGCCAATTCAATGTGACAAGATCAGAGAACAAGGCATAGCTTGCTGTGCTTGAGAAAGCATGGTGTTCTCTTTCACTCCCAAAAAATATCAAAGTGTTCAATAAAAGCTACAGAGTGATATATCTTTCCAAGTGGCTCTAGAACATTTTGTTTGTGGAAACAGCATCTTCTAGTGTCAATAATATCTAGGCATTTCCTAATGGAGGTTGCCACCAAACTTTCCTGTTTCAATTCCAGAACCCTTTTGAATATCCAGCTCTGGAAGAGCTTTTTTTTTTTTTTTTTTTTTTGTCCTTGCTCAGGACCATAACTCTACAAGGAATGGGGTGGCTGGTCATAGACTTGACTGGAGTTTTCTATCTGCTTCCTGTTTCTCAGCTTCTGGAAGAGTTAATAAGTGTCTCCTTGCAGGAAAAACAAAAAAGAAAGAATGGGAGGGACAGAAAAATGTAAGGCGGAAAAAACACCTTTTCAAGTGCT